CACCTGGACAGGTCAGGTCTCCAGTTCACCAGAGACACCTGGACAGGTCTCCAGTTCACCAGAGACACCTGGACAGGTCTCCAGTCTCCATCAGGGACACAAAAGAGACAATCAACCATCCACACTCTGTCACACCTGGAGTCACACAGAAGAGCTCCAGAAGGTTGAGAACTCTGGACTCAGATCATCTGCTGCACACAGTTCTGATCACTTATTATCAATAAGAATTTGCTATGATAAATTATCATTAATAATTATCATGAGGAGTCCTTAACTTTAGGATGTAGTTAGGCAATTAAATATTCATGTATGTGTAAATTTATTACCATAATTGAAGGTGAGACGCATAATTGTATGGTTTCATGAATCAAGTAGCACCCCCCCCCCTCCCCAAGACCAATTTCCTAGGGGAAACACTGCTAAATCACTCATACATACAACTTCAGAACATGAAGCCCACTGTCTTCTGTCTTGATCCTTTGATGGAATGGTAACCCCAACTCATGCTCATTAGCTGTGTTCCCACTGAACATGAAAATGTGCAAATCACAATTTCTAAAATAAATTTGCTTAATGGAAACATGTCAATTAAAAAAAATTACATTTTTCAACAAAATGGTTACACGCTAGGAATAAGGTGGTTTTTCGGCAGTATCAAAATCGGTGTATTTCACAAAACTGCAATTGAAACACATTTTCGCATCACAGGAGTCACGTGATCAACAACCGGATGTTTCTCTGGCGAAAAAGACGACGAAGAAGACAACAGGAAGTAGAAGTACTAATCACAGAAGTAGTAAAAGAAAATCACCGATTACAATTTCCCAAAAACACCACATATGTAGCAGCTCCCAAGTATGAGGGTATGAGGGGCTTGTCACTCGAAAGCCTCGTTAAAGACGCCGACGTCTCCTCTGATGGCTGATGATGAGCGCTAGTGTCATGGCAGCAATATGCATGTGTTTACATCTGCTGCCGCCATGTTTGTAATGACTTATCGCAACAACAAATGTGTTCACGCGTGACTTCAATAGCATTTCGTATTTAATGGAAACACTGCAATTGCAAAACTGTTTTTTTTAGTTTATTTTCTTTTTTTTACATTAACAGAATATCTACAAAGTTTTGAGCACGTTTGCAATGGAAATGCAGCTATTGTCTAGTAAAGACCGATAAAATGTATTAGTTTTCAATTCATTCAGATTCAGTATTTATTTAAAAATATTTTAAAAATGTCAAATGTTGAAAATATTTATTCATATTAAAAGACTGTTAGAGCCATTCCAGCATCCTGACACCAAATAGTTAAAAAATTTTCAATAATTAAAAAAAGGTCTGAAGATTTCCTCTAGAGCTAATTTGCCTGAATTCATCTGAAAATTGATTAAAAAAACAGCTTGTTTTAAATCATCGACTGGGTCAGAAATTTAAACTAAAACGATCTTATTTTGAGAAATTAGTAAGTTAGAGCTGTTTTAGTTAAACCTAGAAAACAATACGTGCAGTCTCCACCTGAAAAATTACTGATATGATTTGTTAGCATTCAGAATGTTTGTTTAGGACACGTCTCAACTACCACAACAAACTTTAGCTCAGTATCAGTAGAAGTGACTGCACTGTGGCCGTTTTTTTTGTGGATTAGGAAATCTTCTTGGATTGACTCAAAGAATTAATCAGTTGTAAATGTACAACTGAGATTCATGAGATATTTTGCTAACAAACACACACACATCCTTGTACTTGTATCAAACTGAGGACATTATATTGACTTCCGTTCATTTTTGTAACTGTATTTATGCCTAATCCAGACTTTTTCATTAACCCTAACCATTAGTCTATGGCTAACAGTAACCTGAACCAAAACTTAATTCACACCATACCTCTAAACCTAACTAATGAGCACAGTAGAGCTGCAAATAAAGTGAGGACCAGGAAAATGTCTTCACTTCTCAAAGAAGGTCTCAATTTGTGGTTAAAAACATGACGGTCCTCACTCTGCAACAGAAACAAGTACACACATTATCTCCCACCTTTCATGTTTTAGTAGCTTGTGATAATTAATTTTAGTTACATACTCTTTCTAAAGGAGCATCAATAATACTGTATGTCATATGGAACCACTGCTCTGCCTCCTGTTCTACTTTTGGAAACTCTAGATACCACAAGAAACCCTTCTGACTCTCATCGCTACTCTGGCAGTTATATTTACCATATATGTGACTTATGCTGTTTTTTAAATCTGAACATTCTCATCTCTTTAATATTTTTTTTATCTGTCTCACAGTCTTCCCTGCCGGCATCCTTCAGCCCACCCTCTACAATCCTGAATTTCCACAGTGAGTTTCCCCCTCTCCTCCCCTCTGCTTCTCCACAAAGAGGCAACAGCCACAACAACAACAAGGGTCGTTAAAAGCTATGTTAGTCTAGAAAGCCTCTGCTTCTCCTGAAGTCCCAGCACACCTGATTAAACCAATTTAACTACCCACCAAGAGCTCAATTACTGAACAAGGCCCTGCTAATGGAACAGGTGTCATTGAAAGGTCGCCTCCCTAAATCTAAACCCATCCAGTAATTTGATGGCACTTGAAAGCAGATTGCCTCCCTGTTCATCTTTGCTTGTTCTTTTTCTTTCACTTTCTGGCTCTCAGGTGAGGTTTTTGTAATACAATTATTTACAGTTACAGTCAAAGCAATCTTGAATCTGAGCCAAATTGGTTGTAAGAAAATGATTACGTATTACAGGCCAACAATGTCGAACACATCTCCGTAGTTATTTCTAAAACTTATTCATAAAGGAGTACAAGTGAAATTTTAAAATCCTAAGGAGCTCAGATTATTTAATTTTTTAAGTTTCCTCACTGAAAACAAATTGCTGTTACTCTGAGATGTAAAAGAATAAGGTTTTATTTGGAAAACCGTAAAATGTTTTGTTTTTTCTAAAATTGTGTCATCAAATATTCTCACTCCTCATTTCATACAAACTGTCATAATCTATTCATTGGTTTGAAAAAAAGATGCTGTTGTTTGGCAAATAGCCTTCTATAGGTTTCTATAGGCTCTGCTTCATCTCATGCTCAGCTCATTGCTGAGTGTTTGTTTGGCACATTTGCCAAAAACAAAAAAATAAATCCTACAACCACTCAGTGGTGGATCCAGGATTTTTCTGAGTAAGGGGTCATCAAGGGGCCACAGTATTCATAGAGGGGCCAAGTATTTGTTCAGCATCCCTGGTTTTGATAAGGTGTATACATTTTACCAGTCGCATGTTCAAGCACTTGTAATGTGATGTAATTTTAAAAAGCTTGAACAGTAAATTATCCTTAGAAAATTTACATGTATTTTTACTGTACATAAAAGCTCTCAGACACAAAGCATGTGAGAAAATGCAGCCATCATTTGTCCGCTGAAAGACTTTTTCTGCAAGATTGTTCAGATTTTCTTAAGAAGAGAAGAATTCTGTAAGATTGATTCATGCTGGACTTTCCTATTTGACTCATTAGCGCCAGTAGTGTTTGTACATGGAACTGCACACACCACCAATGTCAGGCAAAGGACAGATGAGTGACAGGACAGGAGCACTTCACAGGGCCAATCAGATTTCACCTGGGGCCAATGCCCCTGTGGCCCCACCCCAGAACTGCCCCTGCAACCAATAAAATCTGACGTTACTTCATGTTTGCTTACATTTTGTAAAGAAGGAAGTTGTGCTCCGTGTCTTCTGAGGTTTTTTTGTTGATTCCTTCAGTGGGTCTTGGTGCAGCGCCACCACAGGCGAGGGGGGAACAGGTTGGTCACAGGGTTTAGTTCAGTTAACAAAGTGCAGTGTGAATGTGAACCACAACAACTGAAAATGAAAACAAATCTTGCAATTTTGGTCCCTAATCGAACCGTGTCTACCGGACTAAGTGTGAATACAAGTATAATAAACACAACCAAGGTTCAACCAAAAAACGAATCTTAAAGACTATCTTAAACCATAAGCACAATGCTCTGGGCCTTGTGTGCATTTGTTTGTACTTGTCAATAAGCAAGCAATGTGAAGTCAGCTAGTGTATGCCTGTGGTTCATTACTTTTTGTCACAAAAGAACAACTTAATTGTCAAGATGCATCCATAGCTTTCTTGTCTGTTCATCAAAAAGGACTAACCATATGTCACAAGCTCTGATTGAACCAGTGGCAGACCATGCATTTTACACATGGGTGAGGGATGTTGGAGCAGACCTGCTGGTCGCGGAGATACAGAAATAACAGAGTCCACAGCAGCAAGGAGAGAGCAGGGAGGGCAGGGTGAGGACGGACTGCCCGCTCTGAGACTTGCTCTGTATGCAGGGACGTTTTTAGGATCTAGAAACCTCAGGGGCTTCAGCCCAGACCTCTTCTTACTCCTCTTCCCTCTTTAAAAAATGCCATTATGCATCTGAATTTATCCATTTATCAAACTAAGATTGCTATATTTTGTTCGTTTGATCATTATATTGATTAAATCCCAAACCCAGTTGGTTGAGGCAGGTGGCCACCTGTCCTGAGCCTGATTCTGGTTCTGGTTCTGCTGGAGGTTTTGTCATGTTAATAGGGAGTTTTTCCTCTCCACTGTCACCAATGTGCTGCTCAGGATGGGAGACTGTGATGAAGTGATTCCACACAATCTTTATTTTATTTATTGTTTTTTTGTTTTGTTTTGGGGTTTTTTTGTACAGTGCCCTGAGACGACGTTTGTTGTGACTTGGTGCTATATAAATAAACTGGATTAAATTTAATTATATATGAAATATGTACAGTATTACATCATGTACAGCCACAACTAATTTCTGTCAACAGTGGAAAGGAACATTTATTAAAAAATTATACTTCTGCTATTATATTTACTTTTTAAAGTCAGCTAAACATGTTCTCAGATTATTTGCTTCTATGTAACCAGAGAATGTTTAAAATTGTAACCTAGGCTCCTCTGTTTTTTGCCACCAACAGACAACTCTGTGAACTGCTCTAATGGAACTGGTCTGGTACATACAGACAATAGTCCCACAGAGGGAAGTGAAAACATTTGATGGGAGGCTGATTGCAGCCAGACAACTATTTGGTTATTTCCAGAATCCTCTACCTTCAAAAACAGATAAAACAGAATGACTTTTTTCAAATATGCAGTATTTTAAACTGTTGTATTGAAATGATTTGGAGTAATAAACCTAGGTATTACAACTACTACTAATAATGTTGATATTGTCCTGATGCATCTCAGTAATCCAGGTAAAATTTCAAAAGGAAAAAAGTTGTATAGGTCCTCTGGACGGGTTCTTCTTTAATGAAACGTTTCGTCTCTCCTCCAAGAGACTTCTTCAGTCTGAGAGTTTCAGGCAAAATTCAGGCTTTTCAGTCCTGCCTCCATGTGACTGATACTCACATCACATGGCTATCGTTGACACCTAATTAACACTTATTGTTAACAGGGGGTGGAGTTATACTGGCAATAGCAGCGCTGTAGGAGGGGGACAACTGAAAACGGAGGCCTCCACCTCTGTTTAATGATGGACGGTCTTTCTTCACAAAAATGGCTTCTTTTACTCCTCTCTCAAACCAACGTTCCTCCCTATCAAGAATGAGAACATCCTCATCTCTGAAAGAGTGACCGCTGGCCTGTAAATGAGTGAAAACTGCAGAGTTCTGGCCATTAGATGTAGCTCGTCTGTGTTGGGACATTCTTTTGAACAGTGGCTGCTTTGTTTCCCCGATGTATAACTGGTCGCAGTCCTCCTGGCACTTAACAGCATATACAATATTGCTCTGTTTGTGCCGGGGCACCGGATCTTTGGGGTGAACCAGCCTTTGCCATAATGTGTTTTGGGGTTTGAAAGCCACTGGGACATCATGTTTAGAAAATAAACGTCTCAGTTTCTCCGAAACACCCGCAACATACGGAATAACCACTGGTTTGGGTCTGGGTTTGGGGTCTTCATTTTCACCTGAAGGTTGCATGGAATCCTGTCTGTGTTGGATCCTGTCTTGGAGGAGAGACGAAACGTTTCATTAAAGAAGAACCCGTCCAGAGGACCTATACAATTTTTTTCCTTTTGAATGTTGATATTAATTTTATACATGAACAACCTAATTACTGTCAACTGCCCCTTATTACCCCACAACACCAGCTGGTCACCAAATATTGTTAATTCATCATAAATTCCCCTTTAATATGGAATATATGTTATACTCAAACACATTTTAAATTACTATACAAGGCACAAAAAATTAAATACAATATTTAACATGACTGGGTAAGTTAGTGCATTTCCATTACATTATTCACATATAATACAAGAAATTTAACCCCCAAAATCATCCATAAAGTATTAAACATGAGTAAATTTTGACTGACATTTTAAATGTACAACCACAAGAAGTTTCAATATTTCCTTGTATAAAACAAATAAAAATTATCCCCCCTTCCCTCCCGTTGTAAGTTACGGAGCCCGCGAAGGGACACAGGAGATTATTTTTCTTTTGTGTTCCCATGCAATAGTATTGCGTTCCCTCGCAAAAGTAGTTTATCACTGTTGTGCCTGCCAGTTTATTAGCAAACTCACATGTTCACCATTAGCGAGTTAGCCTACTGCTTTAATTCAGCTTCAGCATGATTATATCACACAACTACACATGGAAGTATGTCATATGCTGATATTTTAACACAGTGCAGCCAAAAAATACAAGTAATATAAGTAAAAGTCTGATTTAATTCAGTTCATATTCAAAACAAACTTTTGCGTGGGAACGCAAAACAATATTGCGAGGGAACGCAAAGGTATTGCGTGTGAATGCAAAAGGAAAATAAATCTCCCATGTCCCCTCGCGGGCTCCATAGTAAGTCATGCATAGTGAAGCATATAAACAGTAGCTGTTTACTCACCCGAGTCAGAAGAGAAAAAAAACAATGTAAAAAAGACTTGGACTTTTTTCTCCAGTCTTGAATGCATCACACTCTGGTACGTATGTATATATTATTTTTTTTTACCGTTATTTTACCAGGCAAATCCCAATGAGATCTCAGATCTCTTTTTCAAGGGCGGCCTGGGCCTGAAGGCAACCTATTGTACATGTTTTTGTGTTGTGGGGGAAACCGGAGTACCCGGAGAAAACCCACGCAAGCACGAGGAGAACATGCAAACTCCGCACAGAAAGACCCCAGGTCCGAACCGGGGATCGAACCCAGGACCTTCTTGCTGTGAGGCGTCGGTGCTAACCACTGAGCCGTCGTGCCGCCAAAATGTATATGTACCGATGTAAAACCTCCTTGGGCTGAAACAAGGAGTTTCTATAGAACAGCTGGAGTGTGCAGAAACCAGG